AAGGCAACTACTTATATATGTATGTGTGTGTGTGTGTGCTGTAGCTTTGGTTTAGTTTCTGTTATCCTTACATATGTATGCGCAATTGGGTGTATTTAATGCACTGCCTGCCAAATGTTTGACTTGGCCTACGCAAACACACACACACACGCACGCCCACACACACACAGAGAGCGCCTGAGCACTCGTTAATGTTTATGCTTATGCTAATTTTGGTCAGATCTGAGCAGCGCTTAGTGTATTCAGCCAAGTTCACACAATGTTGTGCTCGGCTCTACTACATCTTAATGCTTTATGAGCCAGTTTGGCAACTTGGCCCACCACAAAACTGTTGTGTGGCCCGCAGGAGCATTTGAATAGCGAATGTGCTCACTCTCTCCCACTCCCACTCCCTCTCGCTCTCCCTCTCTGCCTCTCGCTGTCTCACTCATAAATTAGTTAATCAAATGCAGCAGTTAAACAATAATGCAAGCATTTTGTTGACTCCACAATTGCGCAGCGCCTGGAGCATTTGCCAACCTGAGTCCCTGCAGGCAGCGGGCCTATAAATGTCATGCAGATGCGCTTTACTTAGTTGCTGGCAGCAAAGCTTTTGAGCAACTAATTAGATTCAGATAGTAGCCAGCCCCACTCCACATCCCCTTCGCCACCTGCCACGCCCAGCAACAAGCAATCGCCTGCAGCTGCATCCCTTGCTCAAGCATAACTTAATTTGCTATGCAATTGCTTTTGCTGCTCCTGTTGTTGTTGTTGTTGTTGTTGCTTTTGTTGTAGCTGGAAAATTAATTTTCTCATGATTTAGTTGGCATTTGTGGTTTTGATTTTGCGGTTGAGTGGCCTTTAAAGGACCTTAGCCACGTAAATGGACATAAAAAAAAAACAGAACGCGTTTTAATTAGCGCAAAATATTACGCATACGTAATGTGCGCCCATTCCATTGCTATGGCAATGCTCTGCGGCACATGCATACAATGCCAGCTAGAGCGTTTATAGAAATTATGTAGGCCACATGTCCGTAATCTATATAAAACTCAAATGTCACGTCAATTAAATGTGGTCCCAATTCAAAGCTTAACTCGAACTCGGTTTATGCGGGCAGCTGCATGTGACTGGAGCGAGGGACATCAAGTAGGATTTGTGCGGAGTCGGATGATTGGGAAATGATTAGGAAATTGTACTCGTAATAGAATTGTTTTTAACTGTATTAAATGTTAAAGGGCTTTTCTGATATAAATGCTGGCTAGAAAGCTTGGCTGAAAACTTTATTTTGCTGTGTTCTTAACTTTAGAATCGATTATATTTACATAAAAACGATTAAAAATAGTACAAATATAAAAAACATATATAATATAAAATTATCCAGTATTTTACTTACATATGCCATATTATTTATAGGTAAATCCAATCTAATTCCCCATATTCCATATTCCATATTCCATATTCTCTCAGTTCAGCTTTCTCAATTTCCCCTTCGAACTCACTCAAAACTCATTCAGTTCGCGTGGTCGCCATATACACTACATAAACGTCGTCTAGCGTGTCAGCAATTCTATTAACGAGCTGCAAGCGCGAGCTACCTCTGCTACCCATGCGCCCTACTCCGTTACACCCTTTCGACTACGTACCTACCCCCAGCTGCAATCGTATGTGGTTCCACGTTTTGCATGCGGTCAGTTGGTCGTCGGTCAGCAAACAAGCGTGAAATTGCACAGCAATCGTGTTGAGCTGGAAAAACGTGGAAAAAACAGAGTAAAAGAAATTGGGAAAAGGCATAGAGAGAGAGAGAGAGAGAGCGAGAGTGAAGGACGCTGGAATCGGCACAAAAGGCAATCAAACCTACGGCAGATGAATGCGAAAAACCTTTAAGCTTTTTGTTTGCCATTTTGGCCACATGCAAAACAGGCGAACTCTATCACTTCTCTCTCTCTCTGTTTCTCTATCTCTCTCTGGCAATGCAATCAATGCGCTATTGATGATGTTTGATTAGAAAAGTCTCTTAAATGCCAACAGCTGCAGGGGATTTTGCTATTCAAATTAAATGCACACAGTGCGAAATACACGCGCTAATGAATCAATTATCCTTATTACTTGTTCATAGAAATACACAAAACACAATAAACTAACACAAACACACACACACACACACAATCACACAATGTTGAATATGCATATAAATGCGGGCAAAATGCACCTCTCGTTGCACCCCTCGTTGCAGCCCTTGTTGCGCCACAACGTTTCGTTTAATTAAAAGCGATCCAATTCGTTGGCCAAGTCCGCAGCACGTTTTAAATTTAGCTCAATTGTCCAAAGGGCCACAAGAATTTTCGCAGCTCCCGCAAAAGGCAGAGGGAAGGGAGCTGCACAGGCGTGGCAACTCGTTCACTTCATTAAAGAACGTAAAGTTGAGCAATTTATTTGCATCATGCGCCAAGCGTCGTTCAATGTTATTGAGCCTGAGTGTGGATTGATGGCGGCTGCTCGGCTCGATGCTGCATAGCTGTAAATTTTGCCCATTGAAGGCTCGCCCCAAGATTTGCGGCCATAAAGTTCACACGATACGGGACAGGCTCTAGCTGCATACTGCACCTGGGGAATAGAGACATGCATGCTATATTGAATGGGTTTGCAGGTGTAGTAGTAGCTGTAATAGTAGTAGTAGGTCGTTCAGGTGGTCAATTTTAAGTGCAGCCCTTAAAAGCGATGTTAAGGGCGAAGTAAATATAGGAAAATCCAATGGAATAATATAAAAGCAGACTTAAAACTATTTTACAAAGTAAGACACTCTTAATACACTGTTCATGTTAAGTTACAGTGCAAGCTTATGTTAATTAGTTGACTTAACAGAAGCTGCAGAGCAATAAGTATTAACAGACTCAGTAGCTCGATAGAGTGACTCTTTAACAGCGCATTGTATGTTAATCAGTTGACTTAACAGAAGCTGCAGATCAATAAGTATTAACAGATTCAGTAGCTCGATAGAGTGAATCTTTAACAGCGCATTTTAAAGCCTGGCTCAACGCTGTTAACGCTGTTACGTGGCGTAACGTAAATGTTGATATTAAAAGGAACAGAGAACGTTTTTCGAGTATATGTTATTAACAGCTAGATTTTGCTGTCATTTAACATATGTATGTTAATAAATTTAAAATTATGAAATGCGAAGTTCAACCGAATTTAAGTCGTTCTATTAAAAAATTAATTAAATATCTTTAAAAAAAAATAAATTTGATTATATCACGAAAATAAATAAAAGAAGAAAGATTTATTTCAATTGTTAAAATCTGAATGGCTGGCAGTAAAATAGCGACGATATCGTGTGCTGTCAATCAGTTTTCAATTATAGCAGCTAATTTGGTTGGCCTTTAAGCTCACGCTATATGTATGTATGCACATATATAAATCAGCATATATATGTTTTGTATCTGTATGTAATGCCACTTGCTACCATGCCCTTCAAATTGATATATATTTGTTGGAGTCTATGGCATGCCATGCCCATTACTGCAAATGACACTATGCCATACTGGAGTTTATTTCCCTGCATTTTTTCGTGCACAGAAATCGCTGCAAGCGCACAATATATATATGTATAGGTATATACATACATATATAAAGAATACAATAAAAAATACCAGGATAAACGACTGAACGAGAGAATAAAAAACAATTCGCGGCAGAAAAGTGGAAAAATGGAGTAAAAATGAGGCGCATAAAATGCAAGCGGCGGCATTTTGCAGCTATGCGGCATGAAAATTCACGGGAAAACCGAAGGGAGCACAAGAATTGCAAAAAAAAAAATGATGAAAAAACGAAGCGAAAGAAAGCAACACGAAATAGCAGTGTGACATGGCGTGTAAGTGTTGGTAAACGCGGTGCGAAATGCCTCAACGCTTTTTGTCTCTGTGAGTTGTTATTATTGTTGTTGGTTGTGCAAATGTTATGTAGGTCAAAGAAATGCAGTTGACTGATGCTGTGCCGCAATGCCCTGTAAATGAGCTATGGAGTTTGGGTATCAATAGTGTTGAGTAATGCTTGAATATACATATATGCATTTTATATACATACATAAAACGAAATTAGATTTAGGGAGTAATTAATATATAATAACAATGATAGAGAAGCTGATGAAGAGAAGGGTCAAATTGACCAGTGTTGAGTAATGTTTAAGAGTTACTTTATAATTTAATTAGTCAAATCTTGAACACATAATTATTGAGTATGACAAAATAATGATTTTAATATTTATTTTCATTAGCTTTAAGATCAGTGTTGCATAATGCCCAAAGACAGTTTACTCCATCTAGAACTTAGTCTCAAAATCGGAATATAATGATATTAAATTAATGTAAAAGACGAAAAATCTCTAACAATTTCAGAGATTAGGTCGCAAGTGTTGAAAGTGCGTGACATATCGTTGTCCAACACTGCCAACAATGCCATTTGCCTGCTAGCGTGCGTCTGTCGCCCGCTGCAGTTGCTGTTGTTTAACAAGTTCGAGTGCAGCGCATTTGCAAAATTTAAGAATCATCTAAAGTTTGGTGTAAGCCACAAAAAAACAAAAGCAGAGAGGGAGACAGAGCGAGAGAGAAAGAGAGGTAAACTTTTTGAGGCTGTCGCTGACACCGAAATACAATAGCAACAGCAAAAAGTTTGTTTAACAATGTGTTAAGAAGCTGAACGGAAAATGGCCGGGAAACTTGGAAGGGCAGGGGCTTAACAGTAGAATGCATGGCATCATGTGTTAGTGTGTGTGTGTACGTAAAGTGCACAATAGTAAAAAAAAGGGAGCAAACAAAAAGCGAACGACAAACATATTTGACATTTGCATACGAAAAGTGTCAAAAGGGTAACACACACACGCACACACACACACATAGAGAGAGAGAGAGGGAGATGAGGCCGCAACTTCCTGTTACGCTCTTATCTTGATATATTGCTTGCTTCTTCTTTTTGACTCACACACCTAATCTCTCCGTCTCTTTCTCGCCCATCCCGTTTAGGAGCGCTACAAGGCCGACATTAGTCTTGCCATACAATTGCTGCAATGCAAGCCGGACAGTTTTGTGCCCCAGAAGGTGTCCTCGGTAAGTAGCGCTCGCCCATGTTGGCCAGGAGCTTGGCCAGGTTGATTAACTCCATCTTTTTTTGCCTCAGCTGCCAATTGATATTCAGTCGAAAGTTTCGGCCTATATGCGGCTGGAGACGAACTCGCATTCGGACTCGGAGTGCAGCAATAGTGGTGTGGGCGTGGCCACCACAGCTTCCTATAAAGTGCTTCCGGTCTCGGACTCGCCCCCGCCAGCGCCATGCCCCTTCCCGCCCACGGCCATGGTATACTCGATGCGGGGCCTCGGTAAGTGTTAGTAGACCATTTTGATTTTCTTGATTACTCGTATGATTTTCCCTATTTTCGTTAACTCGTTTCATTTATCTATATTCTAGATTGGAGTTGATATTATTATTTACTTTATTGAACTTGCAGCAATCATTCATTCACCAGCAACATTTTCCCAGTTCGCATTTTTTATTTATTTTATTTTTTATTTATAAATTATTGATGAACTTTTGTGCTATTTATTATTTCACTTTGTTTATTGTTTTAGTTTCAATTACAGCTCAAATTTATTGTAAATAATTGGCATCATTTATTTTTCTTTGTTTTTATATCTTGTTTCAAATTTATGCCATATTTTATGGCTACAAAGTTTTTTTTTTTTGTTTTTTGTTGGCCATATATTTAGCGTGAATAATTGAAATTGTTTAAAAATTGATGCACACATATATGATATGATATGTATGCATGTGTGTGTGTCTGTGTGTATTTATATATGTGCAACAAATCAATCGAATCATGGCTGGCAGCATTATTAAACTTGGCTAATTAAAATGAATAACATTTCAGCGAAGCATTCAAAGCTTTGGCTTATAATTAAATTCTTAGCCAATAATTGGAATTTGAAAGTGTGTTTGTGTATGTGTGTGATGTGTGCATATCTGTGTGTATGTATACATACAAATGCAGCAAGAAATGTGTAGAGCGAAAATATATTCGAGATTTAGAGCAGATATGAAGTTTAGCTACTGAGAACTAAAAGTTATTAAAGAGAGGGAGAGAGAGAGGCAAGAAAAAAGTCGGATAGAGAGAGGGAGCGAAAAAAAGAAAGATAGAGAGAGAAAGAGAGTGAGGGAGACAGAGAGAGAGAGGGAAGAAGAAAGAGAGAGTAAGAGCTAGAAAGAAGGAGGGAACGTGGGAGGGTGAGAGTGCGAGTGAGAGAGAGTTACATAGAGAGTGAAAGAGAGATAGAGTGAGAGAGAGTTGGAATGAGAGAGAGTTGGAGTGAGAGAGAGTCAGAGGGAGTGAGCGTCAGAGAGAGAGAGAGACAAATCTGCAAATAGAAAGGAGTTAGAGGTATGAATAGACAAACTGGAAAACCGACTCGAAGACTAGCTCGAAGCTGATTCTTAGGGATTCTTCCCGTTGCTCTAAAATATAAGTGATGTATGTGAGGGAAAAACGATTCAACTAGTCGTCACATATTCAATCAATTTAGTAAGTCTAGTTTAAGCAGTTATAGATTAATAATAGTACAGGAACTTCAGCATCCTTAGGCATTGCCTAAATTGCATTTACCCCTAGCCAAGCAATGCTCAATCGGAAAGTTGCCCAGAGTTAAAGTCGTCTCCATCTACTAAAGCTAACTCTACTGCCTGCCGTCTGCCACTTTGATTCATTCTAAACAAATATTGCCAATAAAAAAAAAAAAAATAGAAAATCTGTTTACATATGCCCAAATTATCTGCCCCAGCTCTGGACCCGATTGTCTGCCAAAATGCTTATTGTTTTCTCTTCTTCTCCTGCTCTGACTCACCCAACAACAGACGCCACTAATGGCAACTCAGCCAATGCACAAACAACGCCAGCGAAGAGCAACAACAACAACAACAACAATACTAACAACAACAATAACAGCAGCAGCACAAAGGACACAATCAACAACAACAACAACAGCAAGCTCAGCTCGAAATTTAGCTCCAGCCAAACGCTCAATGGTCAAACCAAGACCAACAACAACAACAACAACAACAACAACAATGCTGATCCCGACATGATTTCACCCACAGTGATGGCCAAATTCCTGGAGGATGAGCTGAAATTGAACGATGTGAAGCACTGCGACACTTGCCAGTGCAGCAAACAGGATCTGACCGTGCTGGCAGACATCTCCCGCTCCTATACGGTGGCCACCCAGACACCGTACACCGAACGCAGCCTGAACGAGCCGCTGACTCAGCTCTGCCTGCGCTGCCACAGCAATCTGAATTCGCCTTCTAGGACCAATAGTCCCTATCTGATGAAGCTGGTGAAGAGCAGCGATTCGGTCATATCGGAGACGAAGAGCTCCGTCTCGGATCTGAATGACATGGACAAGCTGTTTACGCCGCCCAAGAAGGATGATCTGATGGTCAATCCCATCTTGGGCCATCACAGGCTGTGCGAGCGCACGGCGAACTCCAGCTCGACGCTGATGTATCCAACCACACATCTGGGCGCCTATGCGGCCGAGAAGTATCTGCTGGAGACGAGCAATCTGGGCCAGCTGCGCCAGGGCAATGCCACAACTGCGGCAGCGGCATATCAGCGACGCTTTCTCGACGGCGGCGGCACGGCGCTGCAGCTGCTCAACAAGTTTGAGGGCGCCAGCGTAGCGGCGGCCGAGGAGCTGGAGGATGAGGAGGTCAGCAAACCGCTGCTGGCGGGCATATCACAGCCGAGCCTGCTGGAGGCCGAGCAGCCGCCAAGCACACAGCCCACCAAGCCCGAGGATGTGTGCGAACCGCAGCCAGTGAAGCCAGCTGTGGCAGCAGCTGGTGTCGCTGGAACAGCCGTGACAGCAACGGCATCTGCTGCTGCTGCCGGCTCCTGCTCCCAGCTAAAGTCAACGAACTCGGGCAGCGTGCAGAGCCTGTGGAGCAACAAGACCAGCAGCTGCGAGGGCGCCAAAATGTTTGAGACCTTCAATCGGAATCTCATCAAGACTATTAAAGTAGATCTGCTAGCTCCGTTATATATTTAGTGACCATGACTAATCCTACTTCCATTGCAGGCCGAGAATCCCAAGTATCGCGGTCCGCGCCTCTGCGCCATGCGCATCCAGCAGAACGGGCAGAGCAACATCTTGCTGGACAATCTGGAGTCGATTGAGACGAACGTGCCGGTCATCTACAAGCGACGCGAGCGGCTGCTGGACGAGGAGCTCAGCGATGGCAAGGACATCATCACCTCCAAGGAGAGCAATGCGGCGGCAGCGGTTGAGGCCTGGCAGGGATCGGCCATGCCACATGAGAATGTGGCGCTGCAGCCGGTGCTGGAGCCGCAGGTGGAGCTAAAAGAGACTGAAAAGGGCGGCCCGCTGGAGGGGCAGGTGCTGCCAGGCGAGACACTGGCCAGTGGAGCAGCCGGCGAGCCGGCCAATCTGAGTGCAGTGGCTGCAGCCGGTGCTAAAGTTGCAGCTGCTGTTGCCAGTGCTGCTCCTGCGGGCTCGCCCAAGCACTCGGCCAACTCGAGCTCCCTGAGCGATGCCATCGACTACCAGGAGAGCGTCCTGCTGCGTCGCCAGCAGCTGAATCGCGTCGCCGAGTGGGTGCAGCACAACACGCAGCAGCTGGAGCAGCGGGCGCTGCAGCAGCCGACGTTGCCCAGCGGCTCGAATTCGGGCACGGAGCGACAGTCGTCGTACTCGACGCTGGATCGCATGGACTCCATATCCATAGAGAAGCTGAGCGTGGACTCTGGCTACAAGACAACGCCACAGCAGCTGACCAATGGCTATGCGGATGCGGGCAAATCCACGGAGGATTCCCTCTCGCCCAAGACAGACATCACCAGCAATTCGCTGCCCGAGCCGACGACCGTCGGCCAGGCGGCCGTTGCGGCAGCGACTGTGGTCACCAAGAAGGCGGAGCTCTGCACCACCTACTACAGGCGCACCACGCGATCCGGCCTGCCGGTGGCGTACACCACAACGATGATGCCAGCCGCCGCCACGCCCGCCGATTCGCAGGGCTGCTCGTCGTCCGGCTCGCCGGCCCTGCAGTGCCCCGAACAGCCCACGTGTGATATACTCAACTACAAATACTATCCCAATGACACGGACAAGACGCGCTCCGTGCAGGCCGAGCTGCACACGACCACGCAGCACGTGGACATCGCCCAGATGGAGTACAATGTGAAGCAGTTTCTGCTCAAGCAGAACGAGTGGTCGATGCGAGCGGAGGGCGCAGCAGCTGCAGCAGCGGCGGCAGGGGGTGGTGGTGCAGCTGGCGGTCCCGGCGGTGCGCGGCTGATGCGCCACACGCGCCTCATGGGACCCGGCGTGGGTGAACGCGTGCGCATGGCCACGCCCGGCGGTGCGGTGGCTGCCACGCCAGGTGTCCTCGGCCCGCACAGAACTGAAACGAATTTATAGGCCAGCGGATGGACAAAGAGACGGACGGATAGATGAATCGATGGATCGATGGACGGATGAATGGATGGATAAACCAAATTGTATTCTAGTTTAGCGCCAGATACTAACCAGGAGCAATGCTTATAAGAGAATCTTTAATTTAATGAGTACTATATAGTTAATGTACGATATATATATGTATGTATGTGTTACACATATACATATACACATACATGTATGTGTATCTATGTGTGTAATACCTTAAAGTACGTCTAAGCTAGCTGAGCAGTCGCAAAGTTGCGCTTATAATGCAGCTAAAAGGACATCGTGGCATTGGAATACTACATATACTACATACACACAATACTTTTGTTAATACACTTGGAGAAAAAGTCAGTTTGCTAGGGCATAGCAGGAGGCAGCATAAATATAAATATTCTGGGATAAGTGATTTCTCATAGAAACAATCAGAAGACCATGATATGATAGAATTACTTGTATTTTTTGGTATTTCCTTACAGAACTTTATCAAAATCGAACTGCACTCTAACATATAAGTTTCTTAGATAGATAAAAACTAAAATTTCGCTTAAATTAAAATAAAAATTCTTTATATTTCAAGCTATCATCTCCCATTTTAATACTTTACAGTTCTAATTACGTTTTGTGATATTGAGACAAACTATTGTTTATATTAGGCTACTATATCATATAGTTATCGTAGTAACTAGCAATCAAAATATAAGTTTTTATATTCCTATGCACTATGCACACTGCTAAAAACTATATATCATACTTAGATGACTCTATCATATAGGAAAAAATTACAAAACTTGTTTAGACCTTCACAATCTGCTGTGGACTCTTATTCCTTATCATATCTGCCAAGTTTTGGGTGCTTTTAAAAAATCAATTATATTTCCACGACTTTTTCTCCGAGTGTAACTCATTCTTCTGACTTCAGTCTTCCCTCTGCTGTATAAACTGTACAAACTAAACTATAGAGCAAGCTTTTCACTATCATCTATCAACTATTCCACTCACACACACAGACAAGCCCAATTGTAAGTCTTCCCTTCGCTGCTTTCTCTCTGCCCAGCGCCACGTTGATCCAGCTAGTCCAAAGCCTATATATATATATGATAAAAAGCATATGATTATTCCATATGATATTCAAATTTTCGCATTACCTTTTGGTGTCTGCATGTTAATCAATCCATTTAATATACAACCATATATATATATATATATATATA